GCCGGAGGCGAGTGGAAGGTGCTTCGGAGGGCTAGCACCACGGAAACGGAGATCGAGACGGAGCTGGAGGCGACGGCCGCTGCCGTAATGATTATTTGGGCCAAAACCACCGGATCAACGAGTCCGCCTTATCGCTGGCGCAGGTCGCGCTCGGGCGGCCCCAGCAGCTGCCGCGGGGGCTGCTCAGCGAGCGCGGGCGATCCCCGCTCGCAGCGCGCCCCATGCATGACGAAGCGCTTGCAGGTCTACAGCGCGGCGAAGGTTGCGCTGGAGAGGCCAGGCAACAGTAAGTGGTTGCGTCGAGCATTGCTTGCTCGCGGTCGCCGGGCGCCGCCCGGCGCGAACGTGAAGCTCGGCGACGCTGTCATTTCTTATCGCGAAGGTAAGCGCAAGAAACGGCGAAGAAGGGGCCCAGCCTTAATCCCCAAGCCGAAGCGCGGGCCCGCCGTGATCATCGGCGTCGAGCCGGCGGCCGTCGACATCGCGCGCGAGGGTTTCTTCGACCGAGCGCGACCCGGCGGCGGCCCGCCGCGCGTCGCCGGGCGAGGCGCCGGGCATCGGCGCCCGAGAGCAGCCGGATATCATGGAGAAGGTGCCGCTCGACGTGGAGGGCGACAAGGAGATCCACGCGGAAGGCGCGACCAAGGCGCGCGAGGAGGAGGTCGAAGCAGACCGCGGCGACGATGGGGGGCCCGAGGCACCGGATGAGGACATTCGGCTTTGTCAGGCAGAGGAGGCAGTGGAAGACCGCGTGGGCGCGGAGGGGCAGCAGGACACGTGGCCGCTGCGATGGCTGGCGCAGTGGCCGATGGCGAGAGCGGCCCGATCTCGAGCGCTGAGTTCGAGGAAGACGATCTCTCAGCAGAGCGGGGCAACTGATGTCCCGCAGGAGGCGCCGCAGAGGTTGCGCGATCAGGGCGAGGGCCCAGACAAGTCGAGGTTGCTGCGCGTGGCCAAGACCATCCAGAAGAGCGCGGGCGCAGTGCGAGAGCGACCGAGGCCGATGGCAGCCCGACCTGCGCTGGTGGCGACCATCATCCCAGAGGGTCAGTTCGGGCCCCGCGGTAATTTCGCGTCGAGGGCGCCGCCCATCCAGGAGGCAGAGGCAGCTCAGGACCTGGTGGAGGACCAGACTCAGCCAGTGGAGGAAGAGCCGCCTCAGCAGGGACGAAGCGCGACGCGGAGACAGCCGAGCTACCAGAGGCTCCATCTCGTGAGGACGTGACGGACCTCCGGAGCCTATGCGCCCCGACGAGGTGCCACGGGTCAAGAAGGTGTCGAAGAGGGCCGCCAGCGGGCTCAAGAAGGCCCCCGAGGTGGACCGGAGAAGTTTCTTCGATCACCTGGGGGCGGTGGAACGGACCGACCCGAGGTTCGAGGCGATGCTCGCGCAGGGGCATTGGAGCCGCGTGGATCCGCCGACCAAGGCGAGCTACGAGGAGGCGGCGGCGTCGCATGGGCCAAGTGGATCGACGCCGAGTCCGTGGAGGTGCTGCCCGAGCAGGAGTCCGCCGGGCTCGAGGAGTCGATGAAGCGCGAAGGCAACGGCGACTACATCATGAACACCCAGTGGGTGTTGACGGACAAGAACGACTCTCTGCGGACGGAGCTGAACTGAACAACCTACCGAGAGGCTCGTGGTCAACAGTGGCGACCCCGGGCGATCGGGCGAAAAGGCGAATGTCCGCGTGGACGCATCCTGCGCGACGACGCAGTCGGATATGATCCTGACGTAGGTGGCGGCGTCGCACCGGGAGTGGAAGTTCGGGTCCAAGTACGTGAGTGACGCTTTTCTGAAAGGGGGAAGTGGACTAGCGCGAGCGCGGCCTGGTCATCCGCGCTCCTCTACATGGACCTGCACTCGTTGATTTTCCACGAGGTCGGTTTGCGAGATTTCGGAATGGCGTGCTTGAGTTACCGACAGCGCCGAGGCTGTGGTATTTGAAGGTGTTCTCATCGGCTCGTAAGCTGGGGCTGGAGGCTTCTCGGTCGGGCCCCGCCTTCCTGGTGCTGCGCGACCCGCAGGCGAGGGGGCGAGGGCCCGGCGGCCTGCGGGGCTGCGCGTGAATTCGCGTGGACGATTTCCTTTGGACGGGGAACGACACGATGGCGAAGGTGACGTATGCTCTGGGCAAGGGTGTCTGCTTTGGCAGTGAGGAGCACGGCGAATTTGTGTTCTGCGGCTGCCGCTTCAAGCGACGGCCTGGAGGAAGCGCCCACATCGACATGATGCAGTGCGCTGCCGGCTTGGGGCCTGCGATTGCCCCAGAGTCTGCGCGCGGCGGCGCATGTGCCAATGGGCGCGATGGAGTGGAAGCAGCATCAGCAGGTGGTTGGAAACATCAATTGGTTGGTTGGTGACGACGCTGAGGGTCGACTGCTCGCGCGACCTGGCGGCGCTGCAGCGCGAGAAGGGCCGCGAGAAGGAGCCGAGGGCATCAGCCTTGATCCAGGCAAGCCGGGTGCTGAGGGAGCTGAAGTGCGATTCGACGTTCAAGCTCGCGACGCGGCCGATCGACCTACGGCGGATTGGCTTGGCGGTCGCGTCCGACAGTTCCCTCCTCAACGCGACGCCTGGCGGCGCGGCGCTGCAGTCGGACCCGGCGACGGAGAAGGTTGGCACCCATGGCGGCTACCTCATCATGTTCGCGGACGGGGAGCTCGTTGACGGTGGCGTTGATGGTTCTCGCTGCTGGATGGCAAGAGTCATGGGCTGAGGAGGGCGGCGAGGAGCTCCTGCGCGGCGGCGACGATGGCCGCGGGCGACGTCGTGGACGTGGCCCAGGGTGTGCGCGATCAGATCGCGGAGATGTTGTGCGGCCCCGTGGCAAGTGGCGCTGACGTGAAAATGTCTGGCTGGCACGTGCCGGTGACGGTGGTGACGGACAGTAAGGGCGGCCACGACAGGCTCAATTCGGGCGCAGGTGTCGGGAGCTCGGCGCAGACGTCGGTGAACCTTGAGCTGGCGAGTACCAGGGAGATCCTGGACAGCCCGCAGACGACGGTGCGATTGGCGGACGGTGCGAACATGTTGGGCGATGTGCTGGCGAAGGACATGCCGGCCGACCACCTGCGAGAGGCTTTTGCGCGTGGCACATGGATCATCGGATTGAACATCGAGCTTCGAGAAGAGATGGCGAAGACTGCAAGGCGCGTTGCCGGGGGGGGGTGGGGGGGCGCGTGCGAGAGTCGCTGACGGATGGGAAATTCACGCCAGGAGCGCTCGAGTCGTGGCGTGTTGGACCGCGCGTGCTCGTGTCGAGTGGGTGAAGACCCGACCCTTTTTCTGCCCTCGTCCCAAACTCTCTGTGTTGTGCCGAGGTTGTTGCATGTTTGTGCGCTCGCGTTTCGGTTATTTTCTTTCCTGTTCTTCACCCTCTCGGAATGCGATTATCCGACTTGGCTCCCTGGAGCCTCCAATGGCGTTCCTCCCTGGCCCCCGCTGTGGGGCCAGTGAGGAACGCCGTTATACACTGCCCTGGTCTCGCAGAATTCAGGTACGTCCGATTGTCGACTTTCGTTTGCTTGAGCCCCAGGATCTATACAATGTGTCCTGCTCGTTTTGCGCATCATGTTCCTGTCCAGTTCGGTCCTCGTTTTGAATCCGCAGCGCACCCGTCTCCTTTTTCCACCTCTTCGTGCTTTATCTGTTTTCCGCGTGTCCAGTTCCCTCGCATGTTTCGCTGCCCCTTGGGGAGCCCCACCTAGGGTTCCAGTGGGGGCGCCCCGAGCGAGGGCGTTGATATGGCGGCACCGCGCCGATTTTTGGTACATCCCTTAGACGGTTCGTGGCCCATAAGTAGCTCGACCTGTGGCCCAAGCGAGGGCGCCCCAAGTGAGGGCAACCGTCTGGCGGCACCGCGCCCACCTCAACACACCCTTCACCCGTTGCGATCTGTCACGGACGAGCCGATATTGTTCAGGATGTCTTGGCCAACAATCTCAAGATGCTCCTGGACCAGGACAGGTGGAAACGATGAGACATGCCCACACGCCCGCAACCGAGAGGGAACTGGAATTTGACGTCCAGTCGATCAAGCGTGCACCCTGATCCGCAAGCGCGCAGCACGCCCTTCTTCAACGAAGTGAACTTGGAGAGGGAACGCGGGTCGGTAACGAGCGCTTTTCACCGATGTCCCGCCTTGGCGTCGCAGTGTCAAGTTGGCAAGTTATCATCGTTACGAAAGTCCACCATGTGCCAACCCGACCTTTCAACATGTTTGACATATCCGACTCAGGCCGGGAGAGCGAATGCCAAGCCTTCTGGAGTAGAGCAAATCAGTTTACAGGCGACGCGAAAGGACGCGAACCCCCTTTGGAAGTTAGACGCCCGGGGTGAACGCGCACAGAAGCATTTCAAATTCCCGCCCCGAAGGGGGGTGGCCTTTAAGCCGCCAGCGCGGGGCCGCCTTCGAGAACAAACAACGTGAGTAGGATGATTTCCGTCGCGCTAGAGTTAGACGGTGAATATCGGCGCCATCGAAACGCGCGTGGAGGTCCCCAAACCCCGAATGGCATTAGTTTTATGCCTAAATCTCTTACCAAGCTGAGCACTGCGCTCGGCGCGATCATTGGCCCCCAGGTGTTGTGGCCTTCGCAGGCGAAGCGCAGGCTTTTCACGAAGACCAAGTTCCGACGGCGTCTTCTCCGCTAGTTGCGGTGTTTGTGGTGGTTACTTCCCGAGCTGCATGCTCGCGCATTTGGAGCGGAGTTGCTGGCCATGTATCGCCGTTGCGGCCGATGAGCAAGCCGACCCTGCAAATTTAAGGGTGCTCTGGCTTCTTGCACCATGCGTCCCCCAGCTGGTGTTGTACCATGTTGTTCTCGGGATGTGCTCTCCGACGTGCTCTGTATTTGGTACCCTCTGAAGGATGGAGCGGCAGCATGCAGAAGTCTTCTCGGCAGCCCACTGCCCCTGAATCGGAATGGGTACATCGTAACCGCTCATGGCCGCCATGCATCTTTAGTGCGTTCCCGCAGCCCCCCATCCCCCCGCCGAGGCGTGCAGGAGGTGCGCCTTTTCGTGGTGGACGAGCTGCACCTGCTGGACAGCGACGTGGGCCCCACCCTCGAGGCCCCCTCCTCCTGCTGCCCGTCACTCTGGTCCTGCCCATTCCTCGCTACATCCTCCCCGTCTTCTGAATCCTACCCTCCTCCATCCTCGACCTCGTCACCGTGGTCCTGTTCCCTCCTGACTCACGTCGCCCTTTTCGCCACCAGTTGATTGCTAGCAGACCTTACACTCCTGGATCAAATCGTTCCAGTTAGCATGGATAGGAGACTGCGCGCAAATCAGCACACAACCACCGATACAATCGCGCATTCGAATTGCACATTGAATTGCGACATGCTATTTTGTTTCACACTGCAGCCTGGCAGTGTGACAGTAAATGTACATCCGTCCTTGAAGCCCCCGCAGGCGTACACATGTTGAGACTGCTTGTCATTGATGTCTGGAACGTCTTGCGTGGCTTAGGCGGCTGAAGTGTATCTTCCATTTTCTCTGTTTGCTGGTGCAGTCCCCCCTGGAAGAATCGAACCCCAGGCGTGTCCCAGAGCGCATCTTAACCAGGATCTCGAGCCGGATCCAACAGTGGCGACCAGGGACCCAAAAGACGTCAGAATCCTGGAGGACGAGTCATCTTTCATGCTTCCTCAAAAGCGACCCCCGGATCTCTCGTGGAGCGTGCCCCGACCAGGGTTTCCAGGGCGAGTCCAGACGTGGCGACGGAGGGGGTCTCCCAGGCCTTGAAGATTCGAGAGACGGGTTTCAGGAGAGAACTCGTGTCCTCCTCCGCCTCCTCTGTCTACGAAAACCTTCGAGAGTAATCCGAAGAACACCCGAAAGCGTTCGCAGCCATCCGAGAGCCTTCAAAAGAGGAGGGGGAGGAGGCTGCTCATGCCCCGCACGCGGCCCGGCGGGGAGCACGCAGGCAGTAGTCAGCCGCATGCGCTACATCTCGGTGCAGGCCCCGCACTGCGCGTGGGATGGGGGGGGGGGCGCTTGGGACGCCGCGCCGCCGCCTTGCTGCTGGGGCCCGCCCGCTGGGCCCCCCGGCGCACGGAGGTGGGAGCGGACCGGGAGTGCGCGGGGACCGGCGGGGGGTAGGGGAATGATGAGGGAGGGGATGATGGAGAAGGGGATGAGCGGGGAGGGAAGTTGGCTAGAGGATCTTGGTTTTCGCCTGTTCTCTTGGATCTCCGGAGGCAGGGAGGAGGGATGAGGGAGAGGATCCAGAGGAGGAGGACCAGCGGGCCCGTGGAGCCACGGCACACCGACGTTGCCGATTTCCAGGTGTACATATACGTGTAGTCGCTGACGAGTCATAATTGAGACCAGGTGGATATGGTAAGTTTTCGCAGACAAAACAAGGAGAGTTTCATTTTTCTTCGGAATCTCTTGGTGTTCAGAACAGTGCTGTGCTTGCTGCTGCCTTGAGATTGGTGCCCGAAGCCTAGCTCCATGTAGATTCTCAAGTTGCCGTAGAGACTTACCCGCAACCTCATGTGCATTCGAAGCATTGACCAGGGGGGCGCCGTCGTCTCAGTCCGTGGTTGAAAAAACCAGGGTATCGCTAACGTATGTAGATGAACTTACTCACAGCAATTCTAAATGGTGGTACGCCGCATGACATTCCAGAGCTGATCGACATACAAAGATATCCCCAGGCCACGCAGGCGCACGACATGCTAAGCACAGCGGCTGTTGAACAACCCATTGTACTTTTGACATGTTAGCTGAATATGTGTTTTGATATGTGTCAGGAGCATTCCAGCTTGGACTTACGGTGTCGCCCCGAGATCGACGGCGATGTTTTGCAAAGCCCCATAAGCCTTGGAATCTGCCCGCGGGGCCTGCTACAGCTGCTCCTTGGGGAGTCGGTGAGCCTCCGCCTTCTCTTCGGTCGCTCGTTTCCGCTCCTGAGATCCGTTCAGATAATGGCTTCCCTTGGCACAAGATTTGCAAGCATTGGCCCTGCGCGTTGTGCCGTGATCGCTGTGACAGCGAGCGAGTGTTGCCCGTTCATCCTCCCTCCCTCCTTTTGCCTCCTCGGTCATCCCTCTCCTCCCTGCCGCGTGCGATCCCGCACGCCTGGAGACTTCAGGTGCAGTCCCCCATCCGCATCGTTGCGCTCGCGGCCTCGCTCGCGAACGCGAAGGATCCGCGCCAGCTGGCGCGCCTTCGTCGGTCTTCCGATGCGGACGAGGGGGAACACGATGGGAGAGCGCCTGACTCCTTTCTCTTACCGCCTCGCTCTTCCTGATCCCTCATCTTCCTCACTCCTTATCCCTCCTCCTTCTTCCCTCGCCATTTTGGCTCAAACCATTCTGGCTCAAGGTCCCCGTCGGTGCAGGGCGTTTGAGGGCCAAGGTAGGTTGCGGACGCGCGCTGGGCGCGCGCCTGTCGCGCTTACAATTTCGCACGGCCCCTGTCTTTCTCTCGGTCCCTTGCAGTGTCGGTTGGCGCTGCATCGGCGCGTCCCTGGTCTCGTTCGCCCACGTCTTCTGCCCCACCGCCTCGATCTCAGGTACAAGGACGGAGGACCCGGCCTTTTGTTATTTGTTCCAGATCGTGCGATTTCCATAGCTCAATATGTCAAAAGAGAGCGGTTCCCCGGTTCTTGGCACGGAGACGGAACCAATGGAGATACATGGACACGCACACAGAGATAGGAATGGGAGAGCGAGCGGGCGAGAGAGAAAGAGAGAAAGAGAGAGAGAGTGAGCGAGAGAGAGAGCAGGAGAGAGACAGAGAGAAATAGGGAGAGAGCGAGAGTTATACACAAGTGTCCATTTACATGTGGAGAGGTGTTGAAGAGTATTCATGTTTACATATACATGTATATATATGTACAACGCGACTGCAGAAGGTAGAGTAAGGTCCACGTGGTGTAGTCGTACGTATCAGTCTGTATATTTATATACACAGAAATGTTGAAACACACATACACAGAGATAGGGAGAGCGAGAGAGAGAGAGAGAGAAAACACTACCGATACGTGATCAAATGTGGACGCACAAGTTTGTGCATTCGCATACATCAGCTCCAGGAAGTTCCTGGGAGACCAACATCAGGCCCCGAGAGACCCCACTGGCACCCCAAAACCGCATCCAAGAAGCTCCGGAGAAGCCTCTCCATATGCCCCCACTGGAATCCAAGTGGCCTTTGACCGACCACCAAGACACGGTGGCGGAATGGGCCGAAGGCCACTAAAGCAACGTGGCCAGGGTATGGAGCGGGCTCATGGGCGTGGGTGGCTTTGTCTCAACGTCTGCCTGATCGGGCCCACACGGGACTTCGATCGGGACCTCGTCTCTGCAGTGATGTATGTGTGTTCAGTTTGCGCCTATTTGTGACGACATGCGGCAATGCTTTACAGTGCGTTTGGTTTGCCTTTCCCTGTTCGGTTCACATGTTTGTCGACGTTGTTAGGGACATGTCGGTCACAAGTCGGTTGAATGGAACACGATAGCCAGTTCAGAGAGCAGAAAGACTCGGAACCCATTGCTCGGATGTTCGAATGGATTATCTTTGAGGTTCAATGATCCAAAGATGATTTGTTCTTCTGAGTTAGCCGTTGCGCCAACTATTTGCCGAGCCTGCAGTCTTGCACCTCCAATTAGGGCTATGACCCCTTTCTTGGCGGCTGAGAGAGGGGGCTTGCGCTCTGTCCCTTGTTTTTGCTCCAGGGGTTTGTTGTAAGTTACCCTTCTTGTCCATGTCAGCGCTGGACTGAGCAGCGTTCGTCGAAGCGGCTTCGGTCTTTTGGCGAGGGCCCTGGCTCCTATGTCCCCTCCCTGGTGATTGAATTTCTTGGAAGCAGGCTTGCTGTTGTAGAGGAAACTTTCCCTTGCTGGTGGCGGGTGGGTCCGCGAATCCTTCCGCCCTTCTCTTTCTATGCTTTTCCCCGCCAGGGCTCCTCCGCGTTTTTGTTTCCCTGGCCTTTTTTCGGTCCGATCGCAGCGCGTCCGCCAGCGCGCCCCGCGCGCGGCCTGCCCTGCAGCCGGCGCCCCCCCACGCTTTCTGTCGGAGCACGAACCCGCCCCCCGTTGACGGACGAGGCTATTTCAGGCCCTCTCGCGCGCCAGAAGCCACGGTACTTTCAGCCAGATCGCAGCGGGAAGCGCTGATGAACGTCTATTTGGTTCGTTCTTTCTTCTCTTTCGCGCCGCTGGCGCCCGTCGTCTCAACCGCCAGATTCCCTTGTAATATCCAGCTGCCTGCGGCAATTCCCGCCACCGTCCCAGCCCAGCAGTCTGGGTGGTGACGGTTCGAGGGAGCACGGGGGGCCGTCATTTGTTGGTACTTCATGTCTCTAGGGTCTGGAGAGCCGTGACGACGACGACGACCACGACGACGACAACGATGACGACGACGATGACGATGACGATGACGATGACGATGACGATGATGATGATGATGATGATGATGATGATGATGATGATGATGATGACGATGACGATGACGATCAGTATTATTGTTACTCTTATCATTGCTGATGGTGTTGATGATGGTGCTGCTGCTGATGATGATGTTGCTGCTGCTGATGATGATGGTCATGATGATACTGATGGTGGTGATGGTGGTGATGGTGACGATGATGATAATTGTGATACTGATGATGAGGACGCTGACGAGGCGGATGTTGACGCTGAGATTGATGATTCTGAGGATTATGATGATGCTGCTGAAGATGACGATGATGATGTTGACGGTGATACTGATGATGATGATGAGGAGGACGCTGACGAGGATGATGCTGATGATGATGATACTGATCATGATGAGGATTATGCGGATGATTTGTGGTGGTTGTGGTGATGGTGATGGCGATGTTGATGATCAGGATTATGACGACGCTGCTAACGATGATGCTGATGATGCTGAGTATGATGAGAATCATGATCATGACCAGGATCATGACCATGACCATGATCATGACGATGATGGTGATGATGATGGTGATGCTGGTGATGATGATGAGGATGAGGACTATGATGCTGATTAGGATGACGATGCTTCTGATGACGATGAACTGATTCATACGAGTGATTGAAGTATGGACGACTGTGATGCTGCAACTGATGATGATGTTGTTGTTGTTGATGATGGTGGTGATTCGTTATGTGCACGATGATTATGATGATTATGCTGACGACGATGGTGAGGATGAGGATCATGGTGATGATTATGGTGATGGCGATAGTGGTGATGATGATTATCACGATCAGGGTGATGATGAGGATGAGGATGATGTTCCGGATTCTGATCAGTATGGTGGTGGTAGTGGTGGTAATGATGTTGATGATTCTGATGATGATGGTGGTGATGGTGATGATGATGATGATTATGATGATGATGATGATGATGATGATTATGATGATTATGACGATTCTGATGATGATGATGATGATGATGATGATGATGATGATGATGATGATGATGATGATGATGATGATGATGAAGCGGAGGCGGAGGGGAGAAACAGCAGGAGGAAGAGGAAGGCCTTTCCATGTGACACCTTCGTCTAGCTCTCGTGGAACTCGTTCGGGCCATCATGGGGCTGTCTTGGCCTCCTGTGAGGCCGTCTTGGGGCTCTCATTGGGTCGTGTTGTGTCCCTCCTGGCCGTTTGGCGGGTGTCTGTGGGCCGTCGTGGGATCGTCTCGTGCAGTCGAAAGGCCTTCTATGGCCGTCTTCGGTCCCACGGGAGGCCCTTTCGGGCCGTCTTGGGGCCGTCCTCGATGTTTCTTTGGCCATCGCGGAATCTCTTGGCAAGTGTGTTGGGACCCTCTTGAGGGCCTCTTGGGCCATCGTTGGCTTCGTGAGCAGTCTTAAGATGACGGAAGCCCGAAAAGGCTAGAGTGTTGCAATGATTAATCGCTTCGCTCATTCCGCCGGCCCATATTGTCGCACCCCTGCCGGCTGACCGAGTGGTCGTTTGCAGTGTGGGTGGAGCTGCGTGGGCGGGGTCTGTTTTTCTGAGTCATTGCGTTCGGAATGATGAATGTTGGGGCTGAAGCAGCTTTCGGAGGCCTCTGGGTGGTATTTTTGTGGCTCCCTGGGGCTTCTGGCAGAGGTTTCGGGAGCCTTTGGGGGCCTCTTAGGGCTCCTTTGGGGCGCTTTGGGAATATTATTGGGGTCCCTCGGGGCCTCCAGGGGATTTCTTGAGGTGTATTGGGAGCTCTTAGGGGCGTCTCCGCTCCTTGGAGGCTCCCCGGGGGCATCTTGGGGGCTCTCTGGCGTTTCCTGGTGCGTCGCCTGGCACGTTCCTTCGCACGTTCTGTGGCGAGTCCCCCTGGCACGTCGCACGGCACGTCCTTTGGCACGTCCCGTGGCACGTTCATTGGCACGATCCGTAGCGCGTCCCCTTGGCACGTCTTGTGGTGCGTCCCCATGGCACGTCCTTTGGCACGTCGCCTGGCGCGTCTCTTGGGACGTTCCGCGGCGCGTCCCCCTAGCATGTCCCCTTGTCACTTATCTAGGCCCCCTAGATAAGGCCAGAGTACTCTAAAGTGAGCTGGGCGTTGCATGTGAGTGGGAACGAGCAAGCATTTGCGGCTGCTTGGCTCAAAGCGGCTGCCCAGATCTGACTACACCTCAGCGCGAGGTGTACTATTTGCTCTCGATACCAACACGCTGCTAGAGATGGCTCGCCTCCTAGTACTGGGACTATCGCTACTACGGTACAACTGAGCGGGAGCCGGGCTTCGCCTGGGGCGAAGCTGCTGGTTGGGCCTCCCAACCCCTTTCAAACTTGGTAGCGGAACTGGCCTATGGTGGTCAGCTCTAGCTCTACTCCTCACCATCCACGGCACTATCTGGTGGACAACAGACGTGGTGGAACATCCGGGTGCAGTGGGTTTGCGCGGAGGAATGTATATAACTATGCAGTATAGCAAGGACACTTGCAGTGATGCCTCTGCCTACGCGGTGGCCTCTTACTTTTGTCCTGCATCCCTGCGCTACAACACTCTTGAAGTCCACCCACCTACTCCAATTGTAAACTTCTTCGAAACCATAATGCATGGAAACATGCGATACGACATTGTGCCGCCTCAACTCCCACGCAGGCTTACGACCGCGCATCGAAATTCCCAACCGACTATATCTGACCACGACCTGCAAGGCCTTTGGATTGGTATTACTATCTTTGGGCT